TTTATCATCTTCCTACCTCCACCTCCTTCATATAAACATTTAATCACTGGTTCCAACTCTTTCCATATAGCTTATAGAAAGCCCAGAAGACAAGTAGTTGAGGATATTTTCCCTTGTGGAATATGTAGGGATCCCTTTTAAACCTTGTTGAGCCCTGATCCATGTGGGGAATCAGTAGTCTAGCTCAGCTTTCAATTTTTTTTCAGTGCTGGGGATTGACATGGCTTCATGCATGGTGGGCAAGCATTCTATCACTAAACTGTATACCCAGTCCCCAGTGTTTTGTCATTTTACAGATGAGAAAACTGCACTTGCCCAGTATGCTTGAGGACCTGGATTCAATCTCCAGCATTCATCACAACTCCAAAAATCACATGAGATGAGAAAACTGTTTCTCACAAAAATAGACTTGCCCAAGATTAATGTTACAGAGTCCATTTAAATACATTTCCTGTCATTTTCCTTTGTATCACATTTGCTCTATTAGAAACTATCTAATGCTTTTGGACAGTCCAAATCACTCCCTCTTTAAAAAGGTTAAAGTGCACATATGCCTACAATGCAACTTCCCCTCAAATTGCCACTAATGATTTTTATATTATTACTACTAAAAGAACATACCTTGGTTACTGCCAACAGAAGAAAAAAATGATAGGCACAAGAGGTAACAACAGGATTTTAAGTCAGAGAGGGAAATTGCTCTTCCTCAAGCATGAATTTTTATTTTAAAGTGTACAATCGTTACAGTTAGAACAATACCAACTCCATGAAATTGTAACATTTGCTAAACACTGTCATTCCACAATGGGGAGGGGGCAAGAATAATTATATTCCTTAGCAAAAACAATGCAGACAGAAGTCTGGGAAAGTTTCCAATGTAATCATATCAAGGTTATGAATGTAGATTGTTGTGCAGATGTTGTTTTTCAGTTTTTCAGTTTGGCAATGCGCATAGGTGGTAGAACCTTTAAAAGGTGGGGCCTAGTGGAAGGTGGTTAGATCACTAGGGTTACTGCCCTGGGAAGGGATTAATATAGTTCTCCAAGGACCTCAGTTAGCTTCCTCAGTTAGTCTGAGTAAGCCTAACCTCTGAATCCCTCTCTGGTTTCCTGTATCACCATCTGATCTTTCCCTCTCAAATATGATTTGGCCATGATACCATCCTGCCATTGCCCATGATATGACCCAGCAGGGCGGAGAGGCCCTCACAGAGGCCAAAAAGATGGGAACAGCCATCTGCCTTCAGCCTCCAAAACTCTAAGCTTAATAACTTCTTTTGTTCATAAAGCACTTGACCTCAGGTATTTTGTTATAGAAAGATAAAATGGATTAAGATACTCAGAAACAAAGATTAGTTATAACTCCAGAACATTTTAATTTTAAAGAGCCTTAATAAACAAAAACCCCAGTTTCCAAATGTCCATTCAAAAGGGAATGAATAATCAGTTCCATCAGTATTCCTAAGAAAACTAAAGGAAAATAAAAAAAGAGGTGAGGAGATAAAGTTTAATAACCATTCTTCATAAGATAAAATACTGCTTCCTCAAATAACTCAACATCAATTAATGATATGGATAGACAGGAAAATAACTGTACATATTTGCCTTAAATACAGTATTAGGTAATGCACGCCAGCTGAGCTGTTTAGGAATGGCTTGCTAAAACATTGAAAAAATGAAAGACTTCATCCTTGTCGTAGACTGCCACTTCTGTGGAACATTCTGTACACATGACTGGGTGATAGATTTCTTCCACTTCTGTCTCTGCCTGCTCTGCAGAGTCTTCATGGTTAGACTTCATCTTCTTATAGCCCCGCCTTTTCTTCCTGTTCTCTGAGTTTTTATATCTTAGAACCTCCTCTTTGTTGACAGAACAATTCATCACGAACATTGCTCTATATTGAGTTTTGTAGGATTCATGCCT